TAATAATGTATTTTGAGAAAATTGCAAAAAAAAACTAACCTGTATATTCTCGCCTATTCTCACCAACTTTACATGGCGTAGTATCAATTAGATTAACGATTTCCAATCCAAAACCAGAAATCATTGCAGCTTTTTCTGAGCATTCAAACATAGAATTAATATGTAATGTCAATGCTTCTTTTAAATATTTCCTAATCACGTTTCCAACTTCCGTTTCATCTTTCATGGATTCTTTGTTTACATATACAAGATCGGCTTCGAGTTCCGGAATACGTGGTGATTTTGGATGAGATTTTTTAATTTTTTCAATTTCTTCATGAATTTTGCGCTTTTTTTCTCTATGAGGGATTAATTTTTCCTCTGCCTCACGGATTTGTTTAAGAACCTTACGGTAATGACCACTTTTTTCTAATTTATAATATAGAAAATTTATTATCAGTAATCATTTAATATCATTTAAGAAATAGAAAAAATTTTAGAAAAAAAAAATTTTTTACCATTCAACACAGCTTCAACATCTGCAATTTTTGCAAACAAATCACCCAATTTCTCGGTAATATCCTATCAGAAAATTTGATATGAATGAATATTATAGTAAAAAAATGAATAAAAGTATGTTATCCGATTAACACATACAGAAATATCTTCTCCAACATCTTTTCCCCATACATGAAGAAGCCTACTTGCTTTAAAATAATAATTAATTAAATAAAATGAATTCATAAAAATCAGTTAAATAAATATCTTTAACAAATCAGACTTGAATATAAAGTTATTTTTGCTCTGAACATATATTGACCTTCTTTTCTTTCAGCTGAAACATTTTGTAAACTTGACAAAATATTTTTTTCCTCTGCTAATAAAAGTACTATATTTTTTATTTCTTTAGGTAACCTTGGATCTACTTGCGTCAAGTTACGACGTACACCATGGTGTAAGCTATCCAAGTTCAAGCCTTTAAAAGAATCCATTATAGAACCTTGTCGTTCTCCAGCATTAGTCGGAACTTGTAAGCCGCTCATTTTTAAGTACTAAATTTTTACTAAGTATTATTGAAAAGAAAAAATTACCATCTTTATATAGTATTAATCTGTAATCATAAACCATTCTTGGACTCATTGTACAACATATTGACAGCATGCATTTGCATATTTGACAGTTTTTAATCACACAAAGCTGCAAAGTGGAGTGATATTACATAAACCTTATAAATGAACACGTAATTCATCAAATTTTTCTCCCTTTAAACGTTTACAAATATGAGTTCAAAATCAGACCAAGACACTTTGATTGAAATGGGGTTTCCTCCTGATAAAGTGTAGGTATAAATATAGCTATGATAATTTATTTGTAGCAGGATACATACTCGACATCTTAATGTCTAAAAACGAGATAAACTTTATTGAATGTTATTAGTGCCCGTGCTTTGAAAGCTACGAAAGGTGCAGGGCTGCAACCTGCAATGGACTGGTAAGATAATAAGTTGGTGTGAATTTATGTTACACTAAGATACGTTTTAACATACTTGTTACGATATTATTAGGTTAATTTCTCATCCTGGTGAGCTTGACGAAGAGCCAGCTGCAAGATCATTAGGTGGACAGCCAGCTGGAGAACCTGTTGGTAGTACATCTAGTACTTCTGAAGATCAGGATGGTAATTATCAAATATTTGATTATTTTAATTTTTCAAATATTATTTTTATTAATTATGTCAATTTATAGAGGGTGAAATTCAGGATGGAGAGCAGACAGCACAATCTTTACAATGCAATGATTGTCAGAAACTACTTCGAGATGGTAAAGTTTTATGTTATTTTAAAATTAATATGAAGTAATAGATTTCCCGGTTTCCTAACTAAAGTAAATCAAATATGAATTCTTTAGCAAGTGCAGCGCAAACTCATGCGGCCAAGACTGGTATTTATTTACATTAAAAATAATTTTTATGTCAATTTTTCGTTTATTTTGACAAACAAATGAATAAATTTCAACAGGACATGTAAATTTTTCTGAATCGACCACTGCCATTAAGCCATTGACAGAAGAGGAAAAGAAAGAAAAATTATTAGAATTGAAACAACGCTTGGCTGAAAAGCGCGAATTACGTATTGCTCAAGAAAAAGAAGAAGAAAAAACTCGGGAAAAAATTCGAAGAAAGTCCGGTAAAGAATTAACAGAGGCTAAGAGTAAATTGGAAGAAAAGGAATTGCAAAAATTATTACAAGCGAAGAAGAAAGAAAAAGAGGACGAAAAAATCGCCAAGGCCAAAATAAAGGCGCAAATCGAAGCTGATAAAAAAGAGAGAGCTGCAAAGGTAGTAATACAAATTTTTACGGAAATTATATTTAATTATATTAAATATTGTTAATCGTTAATGTTTATAGCGTGAAGCGGCAAAACAGGCCGCTCAGATACAAAGACAAGAAGAAGAAGCAGAAGCTGCGGCCGCTTCAATTGCGGTAAAGAAAGAATACAATGAAACACGGTTGCAGGTACGATTTTTAAATATCTTTTTTATCATATATATTTAGAATTGTTCAGTCAAGTTGAATTAATTTATTCGTTTAATTATTTCTAAAGATTCGACAACAAACAGGAGCACCCATTACTCAAACATTTCAATCTACCGATACTTTACAAATTGTGTACGATCTTGTCAGTCAACATATTACTGGTCCATTCAAATTGATGACAACATTCCCAAGGTATATATAATAAATTTCTTTTTCGAGAACTTGTCTATTTCTTTGTTTATTGATAATACTACTTTCTGTATACTTGTAGGAAAGTGTTTGGAGAAGAGGAAATGCAACAAACTTTGAAGGATTTGAGTAAGTAATTAATATAATCTATAATATTTATGTATGTATATATATTAATTTTTGCTCTTATATTTTTTCGAAAGATCTCGTTCCATCAGCAGTCTTGGTAGTAAATATGTCATGAGATTTTTTTTTCTGTGTTAAATATTATTTTATTATAATTTTACTTGAAAATCGATCGATACATTTATTGAGAAACATTACTTTTGTATAAAGTATTAATTAATAATTCACTAATGTTGGCATAGCTTTATTAGTACAACTTAGAGAATTGTTAAAATATTGTGTGCAAAAGGACAGAATTGAGAATGGTGAAAATTTTTTCTTCAAATTTTCTTAATAAAACTGTATGTATACATTAAAATACAAATATTTGATATCTGATATACTGTAAAATTTCTATTAACTAAATAATAAATTCTTGCTATTAATTTCTTTGATTATTCATGTGATCATTCATGAATTGACAGTGGTCTTTATTGTTGTAAATAACTCTTCCATGAAATCC